AAACTAATGCCGATGATTTCAAATACATTTGAACTTTGAATTACACTCCAATTAGTTCTTGGTTTACCTCTTTACTTCGGGAGCTTTTTGATTGGTTTTACATAGGTCASTATCACCAGTAATCCGCACTGCATGTTTCAAGGTTTAGCCCTTTGCCACCTGTTCTTGGGGTTTCTTCGGCGCGAGCACAATATCTCGCATGTGCCCGAAAAGACCATCTTTTTGTGCAGGAAAGCTTATAAACCTTGATCTGAAAATTCGTTCAAATGACTAATCAATGTGTATATGGCACTGTGGATAACATTTGTGCATTTAAAGTTTAAAGCACTTGAAATATTCATAAAGATTTTTTTCAGTAAATTGTATTACTGTTTAAAAACGGGTTGGCTCAGATCTCGAAGTTTATTCAATGAAAACAAAATAGAGCTTAAATGATGGCCGGCAAAATTAAGTTACTTTAAGTGAACACAATTCTACAACTGTAATGCTCTAGCTGCATGGTCTCCCTTTACAAAACATATGGTTTTGATGCTGAATAATTTACGAATTGCATTGGTCAAACTAACCTCATATTGTTAGCTGTATGTGTGATGAATCTTCTACTGTGTAAAGCATTTAACCATGCATYGTTTTAGCACCTCGGTGACATAAACACTGAAAAGAAATGCTTAATGCAACCAGTTAAAAAGACCAAAATGAAATTAACTGCAGTACACTCTAGAGAAGAAGTACTCCTCGAACAGCAAAGGACTCTATCTGCAGCAAGTTGCACTTTAATTGGCTCTCAGTCTCGTCTGTCTCGCAAACCTCACTACGAACAGGACACTTGTTGGTCTTGGCTCGTGTGCTTTTGTTGTGYAGTTTCTAATATCATCGTGGTAGGGTTTTCGTACAGTTATGGTATTTTATTTCCTGTATTGTTGGCTTATTTCAAACAAGACCGCGCTACGACAGGTAATTGATATATATCAACAATAGGTATTTAAACGTCAATGGTTCGTGTTAAACAAAGTAGTTCTCCTGAATTTTGATAGAGTGATGTCAAAACAACCGTAATATAAAAGAATTAGACTTGGGACGCACGTTTCAGTTTGAATGGAAACCTGCACAGTGCTTGAGTCCGGCTGAAAGTGTTTTTAGTATAACACTGTGACGTCATTATAGAAAGAATTATATGAGAATACAATTCAATCCTAAGATCCACAAACTAAAAATTTCGTACACCTGTAAGGCCGAACATTCTCATTTTTGAATCCCACCACAACTTAAAAACACCCTTTAACACGAAGGACCCTCGCTAGTGCGAACACTTAAGTGCGGACATGAGGGGAGCTGGCCTCAATAGCATGTGGGATTGGCACWGAGATTATTTAAGGGCATGCGTAATAGGTAAATCGATGCAAGTGAGTTTTTGATTTTTCGGTTAATGACTTGCGTAAAAATGGGACAGCTGAGTTCGTCAGCATGGTTTTCAAGTTGAGCTGGCTGCATTTTTTACTCGACTGAAAGATAACAAAGATCCACTGTAACTACCTAACACGCTTGCTCTTATGTGGAATTCAATTCAACAGGTACTGCACATCTAGTGTCAACTACTCTCACATTAGATGTGCAGTAGCTGGTATATTAGCAGTCTTAGCAGGTCTTTCGTACGTTATCATATAACAACCATAGCCTGCGGCATCATAATAATCTCATATATAAAATGCTTTCTTTTTTCAGCGTGGGTAGGCTCTCTCTTCCTCTCGATATCCTTTCTACTTGGACCCGTATCATCAAACCTTTGTGACCGTTATGGATGTAAAATCATCGCCATTTGTGGTGCACTTCTCTGCATTCTCGGTCTTCTACTCACGTCACAAGCAACTACCATCTACACGATGTATCTCACGTTAAGCATAGTGGTCGGGTTTGGTTCCTGCTGTGTGTACACGTCATCTTTCGTCATCGTACCTAGAATGTTCAACAGACGAAGATCGCTGGCCATTGGTTTAATATCCTTAGGGCCTGCCGCAGGTCTTATGATAATGGCCCCTGTATTACAAAGCTTATTGGACAGTTTAGGATGGAGGAACACTTTTCTAGTCATGGCTGGGATTACTAGCGTTATTTGCCTCCTTTGCGGTTGCACCTTTGATTCAAATACAATTCAAGATATTGTGCATGACGAGGACGAGAATCCGGGTTTTGACTTCTCGATACTTAGAAATAGTGAATTTGTGAAGACTCAACTAACAACATTGGTTATCTTCCTTGGAGTGACGAATGTTCAGATATTTTTGGTCAATATACCCTTATTTATCTGATATAATTGACGGATGTTGATTGAATAATAGTTTGACTGATTGTTTTATTATTCTGATGATCGATCGATTGATTGATTGATTGGATGGTTGCAGGTTGGTTGGTTGATTGATTGATTGCATCTTTGGTTGGTTGATTGATTGACATTTTGTTGAATGATTGTTTGATGAAAATAATGAATGAAAGAAAATAATGATAAATGAATGAAATAAAACTGAAAAAAAAGAAGAAAGAGAAAGAGCGCTATCTTTACCAGATCTTACAATCCTGTGAGTTGCATGCGGCGTTGCTAATTGTCAAAATAATTGCGTTTTCCAGGTTGCATATTGCAGCAAACTTGACATCAACGCATCCAAGGCTTCAATTTTATATTTTTACTTGGGTCTCATGTCCGGCATCSGACGTGTCGCGACAGGACAAATTTGCGATTCACCCAAGATCAACTCGAAGTACGTTTTACTTTGGGCCTCGTTTCTGGGAGGCGCAGTTATGATAATTCTTCCTTTTGCGTCCAACTACAATCACCTCGTCGTGTTCTCTGTTCTCTATGGATGCTTTGAAGGCACTATAGCAATCTCGCTACTAGTGACAGTACTTAAGACCGCTACAAACAACAAACAACGAAGCTTTGCTTTAGGATTATGGTTGACATCATGTGCTATATCAATGGCAGCTGCTCCTCCTTTAATCGGTATGTAGGCCAGGGACATATATCAAGGTGATGGCGACCGAGGGACTGGGTAGTCTCCTCAGTCGCAGCCTCCCCTTTTGTCGGGTTTCCTGTCCYTCCCCAGGAAGCCCGACAAAAGGAGACTAGGGACTGGGATGCTTGCCATAAATCTTATTTGACAATGCTGCCCGAGTTCCGTGTTTTGATGGGCGTGGCAGTAACCAAATTCCCACTAGACTTGACACTTCTTGCACAAAGTCAAGTCGTGTATAAATGAAGGCCTTTCCTCTTTCATTCCAGGTGCTTTGGTCGACAAGTTTGGAAGCTACTCACCTGGATTCTACCTTTCCGGTGCTTTCTTGTTTATTGGTGGAATAATTCCTCTTGTGCGAACCAATCAATGTCAAGATGAGTCAGCGAGGCAGGACAGCGGATCTATATCAACTGTTGAAACATACCTTGACGAGAATGTCTTTATACTCGAAAAGTTGTCAGTTGTGTAAGAAAGATTTCATTTTATGTCGACATTATGAAAAAGGTTGCGTCGGTGGGATGTATGACGTACGAATGACAGACGGAAGAAATTTCAAATTATATCATCGAAAAAAATCTTATCAGATCTCTTGGGAGGGTCAATTAAATATTTCGCATGGAAATGAATGCTTCAGTGCTTTATATTTCGCATAAATGAAAATAAAATAATTTTACTACTGATTGGGTCTCCTGTGGTTGCTGATCAGACTCGCTCGTTCAAAGAAGACGTGAGCCCTGGGAATTAGTTTTCTTACAAGTGTGTTTATTGGTCAGTTTTCAGATTGCTACACATAAGCGTATTTTTGATTGGTTGAGTAGCTAGTATATAAACAAACACGAGGCGCTTTGCACTTTGGACACAGCGAAGCCTTGCCACGGAGCTACAAACGGAGAAGAAGAGGTCAGAGGGTTGTCTGTTTAGAAGACTTCTCTTCTCAACAACKCCTAGTTGGCTCTGGGGAAAGTCCCCGGACACGAGGCAGAAAGTGCCAGTCGCAAAGACTTCAGTTCTCTTCGTTGTTCATTCTGGTGAAGAAGCGAAAAGCCGAACCACGAGGGACGAAGAGGACGTTTTGTCGAAGCAAAGTAATGCAAGGTCATCTCGATGGAGAGATGTGAACTCGACGGGGCTTACTATCGCTGTGTTCCACATTTTTACATTTACAAAAGTCAATGGCATAAGTGCTTTATTTGTGTTGTGTTTTTCGTACCGAACACTTCCCTTGAACACGTGCTTTCTTGTTCGATAACTAGTTGTGCAATCGCGCTTTTATTTAGGCTCACTAGTAGACCTACCCTGGGTTTAAATAATGGTTTCCTTATTATGGTAGTTGGTTCACAATTCATATAACAGTTCGATAAATATGATCTATATGAAAGAAGTCCTAAACTCGAACCGAGCACGTGATACCGGGCAGCCATGTTGAGTAGCATACACTACAATGAAATGGCAGATTTATGTAAAACCTTTAGTCTCGTAAATGTTTGGATCAACCCTGGCTTCAGAGTCTTGGCTTGTAGTCTAACCTTGAGAGTACAATCCAGCCTCAAGGGTATTAGGATGGATCACTTTGATCTTCATCCAAAATCTTAGATACTTCCCATAAAAGGCTATGCAATGCTAACATCAACAGAGGTTTTGTGATCAAACTTTTATTAATTCTATGAATGGTTTTGCAGTATACAAGAAATTCTGATTTAAAAAAAGTTGTAAAAAATCTGCCATTAGAGTGATCGCACTTAATCCGTGCAACTGTACAAACTAATAGTGCTATTTAGTTGTATTTAGTAAATCGTGCATGCAGTACGCAAATTAAATTGAATTGATACAAATGAAGCATTCAATACTGCCTTGCTTAACATCCACTTTTAGTACAAATTAGTACTACTTAGATTTTATACGTTTGCACTGCTTAAGTGGGATCACTCTACTGGGCAGATTTATATAATAAGTACCAGGTATGCAAAAGCTTTCATCCCATGAACAAGTTGTTTCATTCTCAACCATGATCTTAAACTCGAGATTTTTCAGACCATGYCTGCTTTAAAACAAACTGGATGCCGCACATCTTTGCAATTTAGCTAAGCCTTCAGAAAAATTATGTATTTCTTATACTCTGATACCTAATTTATTTGAGGAAATCACATCATTGCATTTAATTGCCAACTAGTGTTTGAATGCGCATTTATTGTTTTGTAATGATCACATATTGGGTGAATAGTGCAGAAAGTTAAATAATATTATTGTCATGAACATGAAGTGGCTTCATTGACATTGTTGTGGATTGTGCATTTTGGCAATACTAAACACTTGATACTGCACTAGTTTTCACACAGCTAGTTCCTTCACAGGTTGGTTTTTATCAAGACTTGTGATCTAATACTAGTGCTCAATTCCTTTCTTTGAGTAGTTAATTAAGATGAAGTACATCTACTAAAGCAGCTGTTATAATTCAGTTTTTGCCTCGGTATCTTTGAAACGGAATCCAGGAAACTTTTGATTGTCAAATTCAACCATTTTACATTCCGGCTGAGTGATTATAAAATCCTTGACCTCCCATGCTATACTGCCATCTTTCAACATGAATAACACTCTGTCATCTGCTACAATGTATCTGAAACAACATATGAAATTGAATGACTTCAGTTATCAAATCATTGAAAAAATAAACCATAGTATTGCATTTTGGTATTCAGGGCTTTCATTCAATTTGGAAGTTAAGGTGGCTGTTCTGAAAAAGTTCACATGTGAATCATTAGAGTGCAAACATTAAACGTGTGCAACACTTTCCACTATTTACTACAAAATAGTGTTAATTAAACAATAGAAAACAATTGAATTAGCATAATTTAGCAGTATTTAGTGGTGTGGTATTTATGTTGCACAGTTTTAGTGTTTGTACTCTTGAGGTCCACAAGTGTTGGCAAAAGTAGTCAGCCCAAAGGTCAAAATAGACGCTGGATTTTGCCATTTGATAGCTTCTAATRAAAAACCTGAGTATAGTTATTTAGGATACTGCACACATGTTACCTTTCTACTTGCAAATGCGCATTGTGCAGGCTAGTTTGCCACCTTGCAGATATCTTATCAGTGGCTGTCTTGGTTGGATTGTCGGCAATAGCAACAAATAACATAAGAACTTTGCCTTTCTTGGAAAGCTTTAGAAATGCCATTGGATCATCCTTAATCTTGGATGGATCAAATGCTGGCATTTTTGGCTTTGGCTTTCTGGGATCATCATCATCATATTTATCATCATCATCATCATCATCATCATTTTCCTTGGTACATGTATAAAACCAAAACAAAGAAATGAATTCATGTATTCTCTCAGATAATGAATGTTTCGTTTCAATGGTCTTCTGAAAAGCTACATCTACATTATTTCTAGAAAGCATATAGCTATTTACGTTAATTACGTAACAAAACTTTTTTTGTGCTCGCTTGCTGTGGTACTAAGCAGGACAACACATTTGTAGCGCTTGTAGATATATTATATGGCATTAAACTATTGATCAAAAACCAAAGAAAGACTCAGTGAAGTATATATAAACATAAGCTTGATAATAGTAAGTATAGTTGATATATTTTGTTGATATAAAGCTTGTTTACATACACCTTACCTCCCATTGGTCAAGAAGTCTGCTCATATCAGCTTCGGTATAGTCTAATATATTCTTTCCTATCTTCTGTTTTGCTTTACCATCCTTATCCTTTGGAACGTCTTTAACCTTTTCGCAGATACAAACATTTAAAACAATTAAAAMGAGAAACAAAGAAGACAAACTGAAGCTCCGTGATTTAGTAAAAAGAACCGCCATCTTGAATTGGAAGAAACCGGAAGTGGACCGCAATGGTCGATGGGAAATATATAAAMTTTTTAGTGTAAAAATCAAATGCTTTCATAGATATTTTGGATGCTTTAAGCATGGTTAACTATGATTCAATATAAAACACATAATGAGGATGATTCTGGCTCAAAATCACCTTTTTTACATCACATCTTTATTTAGGGATTACAAGTGTTGCTAAAAATAAAGCCGGAAGCAGCGCGCAGAGGAGGTTGGGATCCCAAGCATCCGTCCATCATATGAGATATGGGTGATCATAATATGGAGGGAACGTGAATGGAAATGGAGGCTGTAAAACCCAAGAAAAAACAACGTAAAAAGAACAGAACTGCAGAGCGTAGGACTTTAGACACTGAGGGAACTAGCAAAGGTGTGTTCTTGTGAAAACAGTCAATATTGAGGTAGTTTGTGGACTGATTTTGTGCGGGCTTGTCATAGAACATTGTCTTGTTGTCTGGCTCTTAGAGCGATCAATTTAAGATGTTAATAAGTCAAAGTTATTTAACTTAATAGTAGAATACAAACACGTAAAGTGTGCATCATAATAACTACTAAATACTGCTAAATTATGGTAATTCTATTGTTTTCTAGTGCAAAGTGTTGCACACAGTAAAGTTTAGTGTTTGTTTAGTATTTTTTTATGTTAATTATTTCTCTAACTTTCCAATTACCTAATTGGTGCAATTTGACSTTTTGTTCTCATTGCATGGGATATTTATTTACTGTACTCTTTGAATGGTATTTCCAGATCCTGCAGAGACACAAAAGGACCAGGAAAGTGGAAATACAAGCACTTCAGAAAATGTAGAAGGTTTTGTAAGGAAAGAAGAAAAGGAGAACGATGAGAATATTGCAGACAACTCAGTTGTTAATACACAACAGTCCCATGAGGATACTCAAAACGAAGAGGCAGCTAATATCAAAGATAATAGCAATGAATTAACTTCAACTGACGTACAGCTAGATGCAACCAGTACTGTTGGTCTTCCCAGTGAATTGGGTGGCAACATAACTTCACAAACTGATGACAAAACTTCTGAAACATCTGCTGCAAATGTAGATACTGAAAAAGTCAATGAAAGCCTAGAAAATAATGGAAATAATACAGATGATTTTAACAGCTCTATTACTAATCAAGAAAATGTAGAAAATGAAACAAATATAAATGAATTAAGCATTGAAAATGCTACACTAGAAAATGGGAATAAAGAAGTCGAAAGTGAAAAGGAAGTGCAAAATGAAACTTCTGAATTGAAAATTGTAAAAACAGATGAACCGCAAGACAATGAATTGAACTCAASTATAGCAGACACCAGGGATGATGCAATTGAAATTGGTCAGTCTACTTTGCTAACTGTGAATACAACGACAACAGAAAATATAGGTGCTGAAGGTTTAGCTGAGAGAGAGGGAGTCAGGACTTTACAAGAGCAAAGAGAAAATGTCATTCAATCAAATGAAGGGCAGGAAAGAATGCAAGAACCACAAGTAATTTATCCCAAAATTGATGAAGCAGTTGCTCAAAATAAAGGTATTTTCAAATATTTTCATAAAGTTTTGTAGTGATGCTGCACCAATGCAAGGTTCTCAATGAAAAATAACTAGAGTTTTATGACTAACTATTTTTTTTTTCAGTTAAATCAAGTCGCGAAGAATTCCTTGAGCCATTTTCCGAAGATGAACTTAAAATGTTTTATTTTAACCCACTGTTAGAGCAGCTGGAGGGCTTTACAGAGCGGTTTCTTCATGTAAGTCATTACATTGAGAAGTCGATAACCAAAATTTATCAGTTAAAAGTGTAAAGAWTGAAAAATGTAACGAGAGACTGTCTCYTTTATCRCATTTTTAGATCAGTCAACAAGGCAAGCATGAGTTTTATGARCTTGTGAATAATTATTTCAAAAGTAGGAATGCTTTGACAGTAGCTATCAAGGAATTGAAGGTAATCRTCTAATAATATACCATAACACTGCTTGTTTATATGCAGTATCTAGCATGGGTAGAATTCAATCCTTATGATTTCACTTTGATACCTAGATTGTAGAAAAGGAATATAACAATAAGAAAGAACATCTTTGGATCATTAAAGAACTRACAAGTAGCTCACAGGTATTATTACTTTAAGTATTTTTAGTAATGATGATCATATTAATATATTTATATACAGCAATATGCAGAAACTATGGTCATATTGGCTCATATTCCAAGTATATGTGAAATATATCTGCAGGAATTATGGGATATTACCATTGTCAATATTTTTTGAAGTTGCCTTGCACTAGTACTTTTTGAAAAAAAAATATTGGCGATTATATTCCATAATTTCTGATATATTTACTTGAAATGTGAGCAAAAAAGATCATAATTTCTGAATATTGATGACTGTATTTCTATATTTAGAAGACATTAAGATCTCCCGTAAAATACCATATGATAATAAGTTAATGATATTCAAGTGATGTCCTTACAATTTGATATTATTATGAACGTGGTATATTCTTTATACTTGATTGCTTTATTTTTATAAGGGAAAATGCCGAGAYAATGTACAAGTTACTCACATCGAACACTACCAGCAAGTAGAGCTGAATAGAACAGTTCTTTGGGAAGTAGAAAACTACTTAAAAACAATTCAAAAGGCACTTAATGAGGTAATCATAAAGAAATAGTCCCAAAAACAGAAATGCAGAATAAATGCACAAGTTATAATAATTCTGTGTTGATTTTCCATCCTTTTGGGATTCCTGTGTTTTTTATAATTCTTATTGAGATTGTTCCCAGTAAAAATATCTATCAATCCCAGTCAGWCCATTTTATTATCAGAGGAAAATAATTAGGAATTGRCTGAYTTGTTTTGTTATCCTAGACCCTATGCTTACAGATGTACACATGCCAGCTAGCTTGTATGAGAGTGAATTCTTACATCTATGACCTGATCAACAATTCCACAACACTGAGGAATGCATCAACTGAGAGTCATGTTGGAGGTATAGTTGATTTGATTTGTATTCAGATGAATAGTTAATAGAAGTGTGTATTAGTTTATAGGGGCCGGTTGAACAAATGGTAAATATCTCTATCATCAGATAAATATTCATTATTCTGTGATTAAAAACTCAAAATTTATAGAGTGGATAACTTAAACTGGTGTATAATTTTATCAAYCCTTTGTACAACTGGCACCAGGTTATTATCATGCCCTTTGTTATAATTGAGTAGTCTCATCTCGCTGCCGCTTTTGGACTATTCATCTTTATTGGATAAGTTACATTAAGCCAAGCTGACCTCACTGCTGCTATAGAGCTCTAACATCACTACTGGGAATTCAATACCATCTTGCTGTTAGTCAAATAGTGGTGCATGTCTTAGGGGTATAGAATGGTBTCTCAGAAATCGCGAGGCTTGACAAAAATTTCCCAAGGCTCGCAAGCTCAGCGCGCTTAAAAGAAAGGGGCTCGTATTTAAAATTGGTTTTAGCTTGGAAGGTCTCAATTGCCGAAATATTGGACTCGTTCAACCAAAGGCTTGGGCTCAGATTTTAAAATGAGGGGCTCGCAGGCACGCCGAGGCTCGGATTGTACCATTCATTACCCCTATGTCTTTTATGTTCCTCCATTGCTAAAACACAGCTTTGAATCCCATCYGAGAGGTTGAGACACTATCTGAGAGAGTTAAGCGTCTTTCTTAAGGACGCAAAGTGATTACCTTGTCTAAGAAATCATTATTTTAATATTTCATTTGTATTCAATACAGGACTTTCACCTCCAGAAATAACCTCAGAATTCCAATCAGAAGTTCAGCAATTGCGGGATTGCATCAGTGTGCTGTTTATGTTTGTCAGGCAACCTTTACATGACCAGGAATTTGCTGATAATCTTTATAAGTGGACAGAACACTTAGTAAGATATACAATTCATTTATTCATTTATTTAAATGGTTTTTTTGGGGGGACTAAATGTATTTTCCTGTTAACAGGTATCTGTTTTACTAAGAGTTGCATCCTTGGCTGACCTTGTGTTTCTTGTCAATCATGTCATGCGTTGCCCACCAGGTTTCCCTAGCAAAGTAGCTAGTTTTATCCAGTTTCCTGTACCACATTACCATGACAACGTGCATGTGATGGGCGAACAGTATTTCTGGGATAACCCCCTTGTACATCACTTTGTAGCAATGCTTGCTGCTATCTTATACCCGGTCAGGTATGCATGTACGCAAGGTATATTATTATAAATTATCTTTATTTATT